GTTCGAGCTATCCTCCGTTGCCGAGCAATGCATTCTGCAATAAAGTCTGCTAAGGCCTGACCTTTAATGGAAGGTCGTGGCCTGAAGACTACCTCATACTGCCCGATCAGGAGCGACCACTTTGTAATGCGTCCACTGGCCATCGGGTTCCTCAGGATGGTGGCGAACGGCTGAGTGGTAAAAACAGTTACCGGATGGGCCTAGAAGTATGGTGCCAGACGTTTGATAGCAGCTATCAAGGCCAGAATGATCTTCTCCATCAAGGTGTACCGAGTTACGAGGCCGTTCAGGGCTTTGCTGATGAAATAGATCGGCCTCTGAACCCCATCAATCTCCTTCAACAGTACCGAACTGACAACAAGATCGGCAACTGCGAGATACATATACAAATGCTCTCCTGGATCAGCCTTGGTTAGGACCGGGGAGAGGTCAGGTAGGTTTTGAAATATTCAAAGGCCATTTGACACTCAGCTGTCCACTCGAACGGGTTGGCCTTTTTCATGATCTGGAAAAATGGGATTGCCCGATCAGCTAGTTTGGAAAGGAACCTGCTTAATGCGGCTAGTCGATCGGTCAACCTCTGAACCTCCTTCAGATTCCTTGGCGCTTCCATGTCCATGATTACCTTGATTTTTTCAGGATTAGGTTCAATCCCCTGTTCGCTCATCATGTATCCCAAGAATTTGCCCCCCCCCCCTAACTGCAAAGGCACACTTCTTAGGATTCAGTCTCATGTTCGCCTTCCTCATGATTCCGAAGACTTTTTCCATATCCTGAACATGATCCTCTTTTTTCCTGCTTTTGATCAGGATGTCATCCACATAAGCCTCCATGGTGACTCCCAAAACTTCTTTGAATAACATCCCGATCATCCTTTGAAATGTGGTCATGGCATTCTTCTGCCCAAACGACATCACAATGTAGCAAAATACTCCGCCCGAGGTGATGAATGTTGTTTTCTCTACATCAGTCGGGTGCATAAAGATCTGGTGATACCCTCGAAAGGCATCCATGAAGTTTAGCTGCCTAACTGCGCAGTTATCTTCAAAAATTCATTTGATTGCCTTCCCGATTGAATGTTTAGCTGAAATTTGGTATGAGTAAACTAGACTTAATGAAGAAGATACTCAAAAAATGTCATCAAATAATTCCACTGGAAACCGCCCCAAATGTCGACGGCCGGATAGAGCTTCCTCTAAAAGGGCTTATTTGCACTTTTTATGAAAGTTCGAGAACTTATTTGATAGTTCTCTCTTTTTTCTTTAGTTTATTAATAAAATGTATTTCAAATATAATTCTTTCATAAATTAGAAGAATCAGTCTATACAGCCGATTTCAGCCATGTGCATATGGAGCTAATTTTAGCCAAAACTTCATGAATTCGATTCTGCCGATTTCAGTGTTACCAAACAGCCACTTAGAGTCCTATATTTAGGAACTTTTATAATGTTTAAGTCCTATTTAGGTCAATTTATGATATATTGCTTTAGAATTAGATGAAGTTGAAATTGCGTAGTTAAGCAGAAATCAAAATGTTTATAGACGTCTTAGCTTACTCGAGGCATACACGACACATCAGAGGTTTGGAACACGAAAATGGATAGGAATTCATGAGGAGTTGAAAGCACCCGCATGTATGATATATGGGTAGGTGGAATTGAAGTTGCAACAAAAACTCCTAAAACTTGCTGGCAACAATCAATACGTACGTTGTTTTCTGCATTCAATTCCCAATGTATGTATGTCATTAAGTCGATCTAGCTAGCTGTACGTTAGGCGCTAACTCCTAACTTCTTACTCCTTCTGTCTCTTAAAATTTTGCTAACTTTTCTTTTTTAGATGTCTCATTAACTTTGTCATTTTCTCTTTTTAGTAAAGAATTTGTGGTTCCGGTTAATTCTCTCTCATTTGCACAAATCTAAATCATACAATTTTTACTTTATTAATCTCCGTGCCGGTCAAATTAGGCAAAGTTTTAAAGGACGGAGGAAATAGAAAGTATTTTACTCCCAAACTAACCAATAAGAACGAAGCGCATACATAAAATGTGACTATCCATGCAGCGAACGGCATAAACGCGAAAAGAATTACGGGGATACCACAAAATAAAAAAAAACAGATAGGAATACAGGGTGTATTTATAAATATAAAACTTATGAAGGTTCATATATTACTATCTCCCTTCCTTACAACTTTGACATATTTTCTTTTTGTGATGTCTCAAAAAACTTTGTCACTTTTTCTTTTTATCAATTAATTTGTGATTTCTGTTATTTCTCTCTTCTCTTCACAAAACTCAACCACACAGTTTTTACTTTATTATTCTCCGTGCCGGTCAACTTTAGCAAAACTTTAAGGGACGGAAGTAGTACTAAGTAATATTTAAAAAAGTAAGAAACTTCACTGTAATCACACGAATGTGTTACTCAGTGAGCACGTTCACATCCTTAATTATATACGGAGTATAAGCACATATATTTTCATCATTCTTATACTTCTAAATTGGATGACTCCCTGCCCCTTATCGTGACTGTCAACGTGGCTCTGTCCAATTACCACCGTACCCCTGCCGCCCCGTGTAATGGCCGCTGCTCACCGCCTCCCTTGCGACTAGCCCCCTCTCAAGCCCCCGCCAACCCGGCCGGCCTCGAATCCACGCCGTCCCCTCACCCTGTACAATAGCTGCCCCACCCCAAATTACACCCCGCGTCATTGCTCCAACTACCACCACCCCTTCCCCACCCAATCTGCCATAGCCAAGCCACCATCCCCAACCCCTTCCCCCTTCCCCACTTCGCTCCCCCCGCCACCGCCCAAACCGTCACCTCCACCCCTCATCACTAACTTTAGAAAATAATTAAGATCCCACCAGTCCACTACCGATACGAGGAGAAAGATGCATGGTGAACCGTCGGGTAGAAGAAGAAGAGAAGAAAATGAGGAAAGCGGTGAGATCTGCAGACACTTGCATCGAAGAAAAATATTTTTTTTATTCTTTCTGTTTTTTCTTGATAATTAGAACAGTACTGTAATTACCGGTTCGCCAAAAATATGTATGATCTGGGTGGAATGTGAGTAGATGGTGAGTTTAACACTTAGCCGTACTGTATTTATTTTTCCACTCCAACCGCACTTTCACAGTTTCACGCACCGTTGCTGTGTTGCGCGTTACATTAAGCTCCTCATTCAAAATGATACGGTAATTGAACACTAATTAAATAAATTTATTGGAGTGTATTTTGAAAAATAGTTTTGAAGAATATATAAACACTAATTAAATAAATTTATTTGAATATATTTTGAGAAATAATTTTGATGAATATATAATATATATATTCCGTATTTCATATGTCCCCAAGTTATCTTCCAATGTTACTTTTGGCTGAGATCATTGTCGAAGTAATATAAAGAAATCATTGATGATTATATGCATGTTATTTTTATATTGGATGATTAAGTTGTAATTTAGAAGTGGGAATTAATTTCTAAAAAAAGGGATGACACCCCATTCCTGAGGGCCCCTCAACCCCGACCGGACGGTACATATATTGGAAAGATGTAAATTAGACTATAATCCCAATCTGACAGATAAAGAGTTGGGCTCTATCCTCGATATTTTTGCAGAAGCCCTATGCATTTTTATCATAAAAACCGCTCATAGTAACCGTCCGGTCGAGATTCAAACCTGAGATCTAACCCTTGTGGCACTACCTTGCTACCAGTTGAGCTACGTCTACCTGTGTGGGAATTAATTTTTAAAATAGATACGAAAACCTTTAAGTGACGTTTTACGGATACTATATTGCTCGCGTGGCATAGGGTAGGGGGTCTTAAGGTGAGAGGATTGAGTGATTGACTATAGAGGACTTGTTAAAGACCACACGTTCTTGGTCCGAAATAGGTACGGTAAAACTACACCGAATTAAATGAAATGAATGACGGAGTAATTGATTGACCAACTTTAAAAAATTTAAAATAAAGTCTAATGTAATTAAAGTTTGCCAACACTAATCGAGCCGCACATATAGTTCACGTTATGACGAATTTATTTATAAGTGAAGCCAAGGTCAACAACATTAGAATGACGTTAACTTTCCGGTCTCACCTTCCGCAATTCCACTCGGATTCAATTCACATTTTCTTGAACCCGCACCAAAACGACAACTCTTGTGTGAGGATGTTTGTTCCCGCGCGCCACATTTGTCAAATCAAAAAGTATTAAAAGATAGGAGTGATTCTAATCATATTATTATTAATTTTAGAATTAGAGATCATTCATGATCTTGAAAACTCGTTCTAGTACTTCACTAACATCATGGTTTTAATAATTTTGTTACAAAATTACTGTACAAAAACATCTATACGCATTTTAGAGCACCGTTTGTTTGAGAAAAATCAACTGAATTTTGTAATAGAAAAAGGTTATCTAGCTTGTTCATAAATACCCCATTTTTTTGTATTTTATGTACATATTTAACATGTAAAAAGGTTACCTCCCGTCTCACACTTTTTCCATAACTTGATATTTTGGTTAAAAGTTAAAACATACACTTTTTCTATAACTTGATATTTTGGTTAAAAGTTAAAACATAAAGAAAAATTGCACTAAATAGGAGCAAAAACGTTTTGAAATTCCAAAATAGGAATATCATGATTTCTATTCCCCGAATAGAAGTAATCTGCCAAGTTTGGAAAAAAATGTCATGTTTAAAGCCTAGTAATGCCAAACTTGGCAGAAATTTTTCCTATTCAAAGAATAAAAAACATGGTTGTCTTATTTTGGATCTTCAAATTTTTTTTACTCAGAAATTCTCTCTTTTAACTTTAATTGTACCCGGCCAGACAAATTCACTGATGGGGTGAAGTATAATTTGTGATCTGATCGACTGATCATTCCCAAAAAAGAAAAATGAACTCTTTTAGGAATTATTATTATTATTATTATTATTTAGGTTTTAATTTCCATTATACGTCTAAATAAGAATCGTACAAACGTTTACGCCTAGAACAGTAAAGAAATAAAAAAAGATTCCAAAGATATACGGCAAAATCGATAACATTTCCAACAATGAATGCGGTGATAAATGGGAGTGATACATAAGGTAAGTAATTAATCCACGATATTTAATTTTTCGTCGAGTAATACTCGATAATGCCCACAAATCACTCCACGCAAAAAAGGGCTGCTGACTTGTAATATTATGCCGTAATTAAAGAATATACTTCCTAAGCAAAAGGTATAACCAAGTTTGACTTATAATTTGTCTACTTCTTAACATCTCTTTTGTTTTTGTGAATTGTACTGAAAAGATAAACGAATTGGATTTATCTACATTCCAATGGAACGGGACGGGTATATGAATAGCAAAATTTGGAGTGACCAACCGAGAGATGGTGAAGAGCCTATATTGCCCTTGATCCAAGAGTCATGACCACTGAAGCTGTACTAGGAATTGAATGTATGTACAACAATGCCATCGTCATCATACCCCTGAAAGCCATCGAAATAACTCGCTGATCTCCTCGCCGATCCGACCGGCTTCAAGATCATCGTCCACCGGGACCACAATTTCGCTCCTCCGGCTGCTACCGGTGAAGAACCTCCCCGAAACCGTACGAGAAGAGACCGAAAAGGAAGCGATTCTATCAATGTACTCTCTCAGCCAACTCCTTCCGCCGGACACCTCTGGCGCCAAGTTGTCCCCCGGAAGCTCCATCGCCGGGGCTCCGATTGATTCCTTATCCGTGCATTCTGAACCTCCTCGGCGGTGGATTGACTCGACAGCGACCTCGTGGCCCTCACCGACCACATACTCAAGCGACGAGCCAACAGAGTAAGACCTCCGGCTGTCTCCGGCGGCTGAAGCGGAGTCTCCGCGTCGCCGGCGACTAATGCTCCCAATCTCAACCCGGAAACTGCCGCTGCTATCATTCTCGTGCTCGTTCGCGGTGGAGAGAATCTTCCTGAGCACGTCGGCCTCAGTCGGGTACACCGTCGAGCGGCAGAGCGGACAGGTCTGGTTCGCCGAGAGCCACGCGTCAATACACTGCGCGTGGAACGCGTGGCAACACAGAGGCAACAGCCGTAGCTGATCGTGCGTCTCGAATTTCGACAAACAGACGGCGCAATCCGCGCCGGTCAAGTTGCCCGTCACGGAGCCGAACGTGAAAAGCGGGAGCGATTCAAACGTGTCGACAGACGAGCGCCGCGTGGCGGCGGCAGGGATGGAGATCACGTCTTCCGCCGCGTCGTGCGTACGAAAGGAACGGTTGCAGCGGCGGGACATCAGGCGGAGGAGGAGGTAGATTGCGGCGGAAACGATGACGGCTGAGGCAATGACAATTATCACGATAACAATCGAGGATGATGCGGAGGAGGAGGACGAATCGGCGGGGAGCGGGGGTGGATCTGCTGGCTGCTGAGGCTGGAAGACGATTGCGGCACTAGGGAGTGAACCGCCACCGGCAGGGAAGAAAGGCGGCGTAGAGTACCCGGCGGACATAGCAAATTTCTATAGAGAGATTCGGGAATTAGAGAGAGAGAAAGTGAGTGAGGTAAGGCGGGCGGTTAAGAGTTGGCCGGAATTGTATTTATGATGGGAGGCCACCGGTGGTATGGGGAAGAGTGAATTTAATGATATTCGGGTTATTTTATGTACTGTGAAAAAAAAAAACATGTGAGCGGCACGTGTGTTTGAGTTAATCCCACTAATGGTACGGAGTTAATGGGGGATGCAGTTTACTACTTTACTTTTCTTTTTTAATTTCTTAATTAATAATTAATGGAGTGCAAAACAAGACAGTGTGATCCCAACGATGTCTTAATAAGTACTTATTCGCGGAGCCTTCGTTTATTGATCATTGGATAATTGCATTCTCTTCGTATGAAAAGATAATAAGTAGTGTTTTACACGGGCATTGAATCGAGTAGATGTTGAGAAGTGTTTGAATACTTCTTAACATATATTTCATTATACTTCAGATAAACATTTGTTCATTATGAATACTAATTTAATTAAAGAGAACATATTAAAAATGACATTGTAATGTAACACCACACACCCAACATCACATTTTTAGGTTTTGGGAAACCTCTTAATAAACAACATTTACCGTCTTAGTGATAATAATAACATTATTTATTAAGACTATATTTATTTATAAGACAAAAAAATAAATCAAATAAATGATTATATATGGAATTATTTATTTAGATTTATTTCAATGTTTTAAAATTTGCTTAATGTTTTTTTAAATAAAGAAAAGGAGTATAATCAAATGATACATGTATATATAGAAGTACTACTTTTAAGATAGAAGCTGTACTCGTCATGTACACCAATATATTTCGGCCGCTATTGCAAATTCTTATCTACTTTTTACTTCAAGACGAGAACGGTGTGATTTAATAAATATCTCCTTTTCTAAATAAATTCTAATCAATCGCACGTTTCGTTTACCTAAAAATAGTACAAACATAAATGAAAAGAACAATAGCTAGATAAAACAATGATTTCAAATTTCAATGGTTCCTTCTCCCAAATTGAGCTTTGATTTATTAGTTATCTACTTTAAAAAGTAATGACATATATAATCAAAATAAAAATGATAAGCACAAAGATAACTTTTCATATGAATTGATTATTATATTTGAGATCAGTTTTTTACATGGCAGTGATCATATTGGATACTTGTAGTAACTTCAATTACCTTTATATTTATACATCATTTCACAAATATTTGTTTATTGGGAAAAGTAACGAAATGTTTGCCGTAATTTGGTTCATCTTTAGATAGGGGCATATGTTTCATTTTTTAACAAATTAGAACATGCATTTCAATTCCATTATCACGGTAGGGGCATGACGCCTAACGCCATTACAAATCGTCAGAGGAAGACGATGAACAATAACTCTGATTTTCAAAAGTGCTCACAAAGTTAAAAGAAAAATATTGTGAGATGCGCCTCGTCAAGAAGACCTCCAAACCATCTTTCTCCTTGAATTTTTCGACTTTGTTCAGATTATATTATAAAAATGAATCCGCTAATATCACATTTCCGGTGGAAATTCTAGCGCCAAGAGTGGCTGGGAACAAAAAAAAAGATGGTTTGGAGGTCACCTTGACGAGAACGCTTTCTAGTATTTTTCTATTAATTTTTTGGATACTTTTAAAATTGGAGTTATTATTCATCACCTTCCCTCGGCGTATTCTAATGGCGTTAAGCGCCATGCCCCTGCTGTGATTACAGAACTGAACCACATATCCCACTTTGTTAAAAATGAAACACGTGCTCCTATCTGAAAATAGTCTACATCACGTGTACATTTTTTCGTACATTTACTTGTTTATTCATACACCAGTTCACTAATATTTTCGAAAAAAGTCTAACTTTTATAACGATCTAAATGCAAACATGCAAACAAAATCCAGACAACATTTACAGATCTGATCATATGCTTTAGAAATAGACTTAAAGTCAACCACACATAAAAAAATAAGTTGCGTTGACTCGCTAGACACAAAATATAATGGACAAGAAGAAGCCTAAAACAATCTAATCTTTGTTGTCCAATATAGATGTAAAGTTATTAACTTGAATAACTTCATATTTATAGTGGTTTGATCTATTTAAATATAATCACGTACAATATAATCCATTTGAATTTGATACAATCGGAGTTTACATTAAAGAGAAAAACACGAATTAATAGCTCTCTCCCCATCACGTGAAGGGACCCTGGATGGATGACATTAAGGGCCTGTTTGATTTGAGGTTATCTCACGTTGAGGTCAGAATGTGATGCCTGGAATGTTAGATACACATATTTGGTTCACGGTTTTGAGAAAAAATCAGGAAAGTTACATTCCCGAGAATGTAATATGGAGGGGAATGTTATACTCTTCCATGCATTAGGTTATCTGACATTCTCGGGGATGATCTAATTTGCTTCCTAAAATACCCTCAATTAATTATCACTTTTTCATTTAATTTGTTTATGTATTCAACTTTTATCAAACTTTTGTAAACCTTTTAATGTAGTTTCTAAATATGTAAATTTTATTTACTAAAAATAATCTTATTATTGACAGGGATCAGTTTATTTTAAAGGTTTTTCCTTAAATATTACTAAAATATAAGTTATGGACAAAAATATTACTACTAGTTAATATGCATAGTCACTATGATATAAAGTTGAACACTATCATGGTCAATAAAGTTAATTTTATAGTCACTAAGTCATATTTTGCTCCATTACCTTCATATCGGTTATATATTTGTCAATATTTCTTAATTTTATAGTCAAACGAATATCTAGATTGTGTGACAACCTTTTAAGTGGGACAGATGAAATATGTTTATTTAATTATATTCAAATGTCTATTCTTGTTATTTTAATAATTCTTTTTTCCTTAACATTTTTTTAGGTATTTATGTTATAAGACTTATAGATTATTTAAGTTTTTAATGAGTGGATTTCAAAATTTAATGGCAAAATTGATCATTTTTTCTTTAATTTGAAAACAAGTTTTACGAATAACTTGAACATTTTTAAATTTATTTTTTTTAAATGATAATAAATATATTTAGATTGCTATTTGAACAGAGTTTTTTTCATCTCTGTATTGAATCTACAATCTCTCACAATTAAACCTACTTAAAAATAATTTAATTAGATTTGATTTTATTTATTATTAAGATATTTCATTTTTTGTTTAATTTTTAATTACGTACTTCAGATGTAGGTTGTAATAGATTTATTATGTTAAGAGAAAATATTTAAATGGTATTGAAGTAATCCACCATATCTGCAATATAAGATATGTTTTAACCAAATAAATTAATATAATGTCACATTCTCTTAATCTTAACCAAACACAAATGGGAATAAATTGAATACATTCCCATCAATCTAACATACTCAGAATTCTGACATTCCCATGGTAATCTAACATTCCTTGAACCAAACGACCCCTAATGGTACAACATAATAATTCATATTCATCACAAAATATATTGTAAGGTCTTTCTGGGGGTTTTCTGCATTTTTGGGAGTCTATCGGACCAGATATTCTTGGTTTTTATAGGCCGATGTTTCCTACAGGCAGGCTTCCGAAGGGGATTAATTATACCCATTTTGTTTTAATTCCAAAGAAAAATTAGCCGGAAAATTTGGATGACTGGAGACTCATTACTTTGTGTAATATTATATATAACATTTTCGCTAAGTTGCTTGCTAATAGAATGGAAGGCTTGTTAAATTCTTGTGTTTATGAGCAACAAAGCACATTTATTCCGCGTAGGTCTATAATTCATAATATTATGATAGCCTTTGAACCACAACATTACTTGAAGTGCAAGAGGCAGGGCAAGGTCGAGTTTGCTACCCTGAAGTTAAAAATGAGCAAGCCTTATGATCGCGTGGAGTGGGCATTTTTGGAAAGGATGCTTCGTCATCTTGGATTTGCGGAGAAGTGGATTTAGCTAATTATGAAATGTGTGCGCTCGGTTACTTATGCAATTTCTTTTGATAATCAGGAGATTGGTCCCATTTATCCTACGAGGGGCTTGAGGCAAGGGGATTCTGTTCCCCCGTGTTTTTTTATTCTGTTTGCGGAAGGTCTGAGTGCTCTTCTTCACATACAGGAGGGGCTTGGCCGTCTACATTGATTATCTGTGGCTAGGGGAGCTCCAATGATAATTTGTTATTTTTCCAGACTGGTCATGATGAGGCATCCGTTGTTAAGGCGACTTTACAGGAGAATGAGTTGGCATCGGGTCAGCTTATTAATTTCCATAAATCCAAGTGATGGATAGTCTACCCGGGGGTATATATCCGAAGGGTTATTACGGGGAATAACTTAGAGAGAAGTCAGAGCAAACAAGTAAGAGAGAGAGTGTATATTCGATATGCTTTGAGCGTGTTATGACTTTTCAGCGTGGTTACAAATGAGGAAATGGGGTGCTATTTATAGCAGCAATAAATGCCGGGCAGGGACACGTGTCAAGCGCTCATTGGCCGAGGGGTCACCTCAACTGGTTGGCGCTGGCAACCACATGTGGCCGCATTTAATGCGGCTGTTGGATGGGACGTCTGTGCAGAGTACGGTGATCTGTACGCATGTGAGGCGGATATCTTGTCGAGTGAGATGCCTTCGGCTATAGAGCAGTAGCCGAGGGCTCTTCCTCCCGATGGCACCCCTGGTGCCGAGGGCTCACAGTGCCGAGGGCTGCTGTTTTCGCCGTTTTCTCCCAGTTTCTTAGTTTGCTTGAGAAACCCGTTCTGTGAGAATTTGGAGCCTTCGGCCAGGGGGCCGAAGGCACCCCTGTGCGTTGTGCGGACTGCTTGGTACTCCGGGCGCTGTGAGTTGGGCCTGTTAGGCCTTTTGGGCCTGTTGGGCCTTTGCTGGAGTAGTAGGAGTCTGTGGGCCGGGGGTTCCCGGGCCATATACTCCATCAGGAGTCCCTCACTCCTTTTGCCGAAAGGTACTTGAGGGAAAAGGAGTAATTTGTGCTTGCCCTTTGATGTTGTCCCGTTGTGATCTCTGAAGTTGGTGAGGAGTTGTTGCTTTTATGTCCCTGCCGAAGGCAGTCCCTCAG